GTTGAATAGTAATCAAACTAGTTACATATGAACGAACTTAATCATAAGATACCATTTAAAAAAAGAGATCTATTCAGAATAATTAAAGTAAATAAATATGGTAAAAGAAAGATCATTACTTCTATATATATTGGGGAACGTTATTTACTTACCTGATATATCGCCTAGCTCTTAAAATTTCCTTCCCGCAATTTCAATCAAGTTCTCCTTTCTTTCCTTCTTCTAATGACCCTATCCAATATAGTAGAATTTTAACATATTTCTTACAAATTAAACAAACTCTCTTGCTACAGTAATATATCTCTAATCAACTTGAACAAGTTAAAGTCATTTTTCATCATCATTTAAGTTTTCAAATTTCTCATATCATCTTATCCCAACTAAATGGTATTTTTAAAATATAATTCTCTTTTAGACATTTTTATAAACATCTAACCTGCATTTCCCTTCCAATTTCTTCAATAAAGCTTTTAAACCTTTAAAACTCCTACCTATATGTTATCAAACATCAATATAGATTTAATATACTTTCAAACCGAAGTTCCATCAAGAATAAATTTTTTAAGCCCAGCAACTAACTTTAATTCTAGTAATAAAATTTTTTCCTTCAGTGATTATAAATACCCTTAAAGTCTAAATTATAGCTTGGTTAAATCTTAGCAACTATTAAATTCATGCTTCCAATAGTATTAGTGAGCAGAATATTAGGGGGGAAATTTCAAATTTTTTTTACTACAATGCTAAATACATACACACGGATGAGCATCATGAAGGAGGAAGAGAAGTTTCAAGCACATTGTCAACAAATCAAGCTAGAGGAAGCAAAAATGCATGGAAGAACAAGCTTAGACAATAGAACAAGGAGAATTTGAACAAGGAAGGAAACACCTTTGGCAACACCGTTGCAATAATAGATAGAGAAGAAGAAGGGAAGACCGACAGCTAGAAACAGAAGGGAAAAGGACCACACAAATGAACTTCTTGCAACATCAGTAGCGGACGCTCTCCAATCATCGATGGCAAGTTGAACGACGAGAAGAAAATAGAGAAGGAAGAATGGAGGGTGAAGGTCGGTGCAAGTCTCTCACGCTGCTCGCTTTGTTTCTACCCCTTTTGTCGACAAAGAGGAAAAGAATTTGAATAAAAAGGTCATGGGGGGAAATTACAGAACAAGACCAACCTAAGCTTGTTCATAACATTACAAAATAACACCTAAATTATTATTATTATTATTTTTGGGTTCATTACAATCTTGGCCCAATTCATTATTTTCGTGGTCTTGAGGTGTTTCATGACAGCTCTTGGTTATACTTGTATTAGGGAAAATATACATTGGATTTATTAAAACGTTTTATCATACTTGATTGTGCTCCTATTCCAACACCTATGGTAACTGGTCGGCAATTTTCTACTGATGATGGTGCAGTAGCTAGTTATCCCTCTTTGTATAAACAAGCTGTAGGGGCACTTCAATACTTAACAACTACTAGACCAGATATAGCATACTTTGTGAATAAACTTAGTTAATTTATGGCTAAACCCGCTATTGTTCATTATCAAGCTGTTAAATAGATTCTTAGATACACCAAAGGCACCTATCCTTATGGGTTACATTTAAAACCAGTAGCTTCAATGAATTTATTGATGCAAATTGGGCTATTGACATTGATGATAGGAAGTCGATGGATGGATTTTGTGTTTATCTTGGTGGTTCATTAATTTCATAGGCATCTAGAAAGCAAAGGGTGGTGTCATGTTCTAGTATTGAGTTTGAGTATAGAGCACTTGTATATGGTGCAGCTAAGCTAAAATGGCTTTGTTCTCTTTTATTTGAAATTGGTTTGATTCCTCAGTCTCCTCGTACCATATGGTGTGATAATGTGAGTGCTGGTGCCTTAACTGCTAATTCGGTTCATCATGCCCATAGCAAAACAATTATTATAAATTTTGTACATGATCAAGTTTTGGCTGGTCAGCTTGATGTTTGATATGTCCCTTATGCTCAACAGATAGCTAATAGTTTGATAAAAGCTTTAACTTATCTAAAGTTCTCTCATTTCAGAAGCAAACTCAGGCTAGTTTTTACACCCTGTCGTTTAAGGGGGAATGTTGGAGCATAAGGATTAGTTTTTTATCTTGTAATTAGTTGTATCTCTTGTATACATGTATATTCTCTTTGTATTGTTACTTATACGTATTAGCTTCTCATAGGGTGTTTTGTAACAGCCTTGCATAGTCCTGTACTATTTATTAGTGTATTGAAACCTGCTAGGTATCTTGCCTTGGCCTCATTCATTTCAATTGTCCTTTCTCTCATTCTCCCCTCACTACTAACGTGGTTCTGCCCTTGGGAGCATCGAAGGCAAAGGATGATGCATCTAAGAAGGAAGCGACGTCATTGTCTAATAGTTCTTAACCTTGTTTGACCAGGTCCTCGTTCACACCATCAATTGCTCCTTCGTTGATGCTTCTATCACAGTCGACTTTTGCTCCATCTCTTTGGTGTTCTTCAATTAGGGAATGCATGTGAAGAATCAATGTTTTTTTTTTTCCCAAATTTTGTTCGTTTAACATAGAGGGGCAATTGGATCATTTGGTTAGAGTGTGTTCTGAATATTTAAATTAGTTTGATCCTTAAATTTAATTTTGTCCCTAACAATAATTTGCCTCTCAATAAAGTGTTTTTTAGCAATTCTCCTTTAAAAGAATTATTGTTTTTGTTGTTATTTTTTTGGCGAACGGATTAATGTATTTCATATTTCAATCAATTCATAAATAAAATTGTCGTTTGCGTTTAAGGCACGGATCAATAATTAAAAAATCAAACCCAACTGAATGGTCAAACCGATTAGACCGTCGATTGGTTAGGCTAATGATTCGATCAAGCTGAAAAAATTATTTAGGGAGTTGAATTAGATTGAGTTGCTTTGGACAGGTGATTAGACTGGGAACCCAGATCAAGCTGAGAATCGGGTTTGGTTTTAAAAAACTGGGCTGTTAAAAAAACCCTTTTTATTTTTTGATCAATTTTTTTTAAAAATAATTAATTTTTTTAATCATTTAATGTTATATTATATCATATGGTTTGTTAAGTTATGATAAATTTAAAATATTTAGTTTCATTTTTAAGTTAAGTAGTAATTTCATATTTATTTTTTATATTTAAATTATTATATATATATATATAATTTTTTCATTTAATTATTATATTATTGATTTAATTGTTGATTCAACTCAATTAAATTATGTAAATTGTAAACGGTTGATTTTTTTATTTCAATATTCGACTCAGATATTAAAAAGATTGGCACGGACGGAAAGCCCACTTTACATGCTTTACCTTTTTTTTTTTTATTTCTTTACTTATTTATTTATCAATTTATATGTAGATATTCTACCAAAAGACAATGTAAGTGTAGATATTGAGGTGCGTGCTTTTTTCTTTTTTTTTTGCTTCCAGCCGCCGATTCTAGGTTCATTAAAAAAACAAGATATTCTAGAAAATAAAAGTAATAATGGGTCTCGGTTACAGGAATATCGTCAAAGCCTAAAAGTGAATGCTGGATGTTTTATGGGTCGTGCAGGGTTGGAGCTTTTTGAATTCTTTATCCATCAGTTCCATACATGCTTAAAAAACGATTCCGCTTGAAAAAAAAAAAAATATATATCCTTTTTTGTTTTTGCGCGACTTTTTCATCACTGCTTCTCTTTTTGCCCGGCTGGTCATCTTTATTTTAAGAAATTGGAATGATCCGTCCCATGTACCCGAGGATCCAAACATTTTTTTTTTTAAGCAAGTAAATTCATGCTTGATATTAATAATAAAATAATAGGGAACTTTAATTTTAGTTTTGTTATGTATTACTGGTAATTTCTTTCATGGCAACTTTTTCAATATTACCTCCCTTTTCGTTAGCTATTTTTAAAAACTAGAATGATCCAACTCGTGGCATAATGTTGCCAAAAAAAAAAAAACACACTCACACACACTCACATTCATATAGTATGTTATAAAGAAAAAAAATGATAATAAGCTATATTACTTATCGCTTATGGTTCGTGAATAGTATTGCTCATTTGTCAAATTTTATGTTGTAAAATGCAACCATTGCATGACAAAAGAATGATCCTGGTTAATAGCATGAGATCTAGTTTCAAACAATTAGAAAAAAACACAAATCAATGCTTAATAGTAAAATAATAAATAAAATATGATTTAAATTTTATAATATTTATTAGTGGTGAGGCTTGTTTTGATGCCAATTTGCAATGTTTTGAAGCAAGGATGATATTCAAGTTGCTTTTGTTGACTACGTGTGAACTCCCTAACAAGTCAACAACCCCAACTTTAGAAAGTCCTCTCTGCTTCATCTATTAAAATATGTACATTTTGGTAGTGTTACATCTATATATGCTTTTTTGGAAAAGGACAAATATATTCTCTTGTATATTGCATATAAGATAGATAATAATTTGAAATTTTTAAAAGTTGTAAGGACTTTTTAGAATTTAAAATCCTGCTAAGGCTTGTGCAAAGATATTGAAGAAATAAAGGATTGCATAGGATCCAAGAAATATGTGAAAATAAAAAAAGAAAACTTGAGAACTGAGAGGAAAAAAAAAAGAGCACACTATATGTGAACATAAATGATAGGTGATATATTAATTTTATAAAGGATTGCATTGACTCCGAAGTAGGCCAGAATGGGAGGAAAAGAACTATATGTTGACCCTCCTTTCTCATGATTGAATTTTGAAAATAAACGGTAAGGTGATATATTATTGGAGTTGCTTTCCTTGACCACATGGGCACTATAACAACTTGAATTCAGTTCTAACCTAATCTAGTTCTCTTGGAAACTGTGGGCAAAGCTTCTCTGTTTCTATTTCCTTCGAAGCGATGAAATAACAATATATTCATTCAATACTGTATCGCTTGAACAGATCATAAGGAAATAACAATATATTCATTCAATACTGTATGGCTCGAACAGATCATATAAAGAATCAAGAAGGCTTAGATATGTGCTTTCTATCTTTGCATTTTTCTATGTTCAAGTGACTGAAGGTTCTCAAAAGTACATACACAAATACAATCAATGACAGAACCACACAATCTAAAAGACAAACTTACAAATCTACCAAAAACAGTTATTGGCTTTCACTCTACTTCCTGAATTATTTCTAAACCTTGCATTAGATTTCTTGCATGTACATTGGCCCTTTCTCTTGTTGAAGGGCCTTCAGAATCAAAAGGATTTGGAGGTATTGGTAATTTGTCTCCTTGTCCTTCTAACATTTGAACCACCACTTGCATTGATGGTCGATTCACAGCATGCCATTGGATGCACCAAAGGCCCACTATTCCCAATTTTCTTGCAATTTTAGCATCCTCTTCCTCCTCAATATGAATTCTTACGTCCTCTCTTTCTTCTAAGGTGTTATGCATCCATTCTGGATAGTATACATGACTTGTATTTTCTTTTGTGTCATGGGTGATCTTTTTCCCTCCAATCACTTCAAGTAGTAACATCCCAAAACTATAAACATCTGCTTTGTGAGACACATTGCCAAAGTTTCGAGAGAAGACTTCTGGAGCGATGTAGCCCAAAGTTCCTCTGGCAGTAGTCATTGACACTACACTTTGGTCTTTGGAACACAATTTAGCCAGCCCAAAATCACATATTTTTGGCATGAAGTCATCATCCAGTAAAACATTATGAGGTTTGATGTCAAAATGAAGTATGCGTTGCTCACACCCTTGATGAAGATATTCAATTCCTTTGGCTATGCCTAAAGCAATTTCATGGAGCTTTGTCCAACCAAGAAAGTTTTGCCTATTGTCGGGTGAAGTTATGAAATTTTGTAATGAACCATTTGGAAAGTACTCGTAAACCAGTGCTCTTCTAAAGCCATCTGCACAGAACCCAATTAAACGAATAATGTTGACATGATGAATTTTTCCCATTGTTCCTACTTCAGTGATGAATTCTTCGCCATTTCCTTCAGAATTAGTGAGGATCTTCACCGCAACTTTGAACTCAGATGAAATGCTTCCTTTGAACACAGTACCAAAAGATCCTTCCCCTAACTTGTCTTCAAATTGATTGGCAATCCTCTTAATTTCAGCATAAGAATATCTTGTAGGCTTGAGAGCTCTATAATCTTTCAAAAACTTCTCAATTATTGCTTGGCTTTCTTTCCGTGATTTGCAAGATTTGTGGATGTAATGAATTGCAACAAGAGTACTGACCACTAGAAGTGAGCCCATGATTGATCCTGCACATGTAAGAACTCGAATATTTAGTTTCAAAAAGAATAATTGCCTCCGGAGGAATAAACTAAGTTCAATTTGGAAGTTAACCTGTAATTACAAATTTGTTTGATGAACCTGCAAAAGAAATTAACGTGATTGGTCAGCTAAGCATGCTGACATATTGAAAACTGCCACGGCTCTTTATGTAACTGACATAAATTACCATACAGATATATTGAAAAGGCAGAGCAAGTTTTGATGGAAGAGTTGTCACATTACCACTGTGACGATCCCCGAAACATGCAGTATCATAGCTGTTATTACTGTTCTTGAATCCACATGTCGTTCCATTTGATTCACAATGTTTACACATTGGTTTAGACCACATCAAATGAAGAGTGTTGTCATCATCAAATATCTCAGGTGGGACGGATGAAATGTTGAATACTTTGCTGCAAAATAACAAGGGAAGCTTCCCAATCTCACGATATGATAAAACAGCATACACTTGATGGGAAGAGCTGCTCAGGCACGTTGAAATAATTGCTCCATCTCTAGGTGATGAGCAATTGAAAATGGTGAAGTCATTAAGATTCTGGTCAATGAACTGGAAAGGGGAATGAAGCAGAGTGAGATTACGGACATGTCTAGAAAGACAACCAGAAGGATCATACAACTGAATGGTTTGGGATTTGTAGTCAATGTGTCTGACATTGAGCTTCACAGACCCAAGCTCAAGAACAGCATGAGTGGTAGATGAACATTGTAAAGCAAACCCAGGATACCCACACTGTTCTGGTTGGCGTCCTTTTACTCGAAAAGGAAACCGAACACGAAGGTTTCCACATGTTGTTTCAGGTTCTGGACAGCTATCCCAGCTTCTTACAGACTCTGAAAACCCAGAAATTATCAACAAGCAAAAGAAGAAGGAGTTTATAGTTGTAATTTCCATGATCTCCAGAATCTGGCTTCCCAAATAGCTACGATCAACGCATCTAAAATAAGGAGTCAGGAGACTTTTTCAAAAAGGCTACGTAGCTTCCCAATAATTTCCCCACATGGCATACCTACCAGCTTACGTGTAAACACGACTTTATGAATTATTTATATTGACATTATGCTGTCAAGTTGGCTAGTGGCAACTTCTTGATCGCCATGGTCAGGGACCTTTATATATGCCTTCCGTATCTACTCTTCATTTTGAGATCAAAGAATCATGTGTTCCTCACAAGCAAAATTACCAGTGGCTATGATTCTGATAATGTTACTCTGCAGAACTTGCAAGGCATTGGACGGACACCAGAACTGTTCAAGTTTATGCGGAGATCATAACGTGATCAGCCCTTTCCGGTTAAAAGACTCTGCAGAGGAGTGTGGTGACCACAGGTATGAGCTATCATGCGAGCGCAACCAGTTGGTATTGCACTGGCAATCTGGAAGTTACAACGTTGTGTCCATTAATTATGAGAACTACACTATCCGAGTGAGAGACTCTAATATTGTGGAGTTAGATTCATCTTCCTTGCCACGAGATTCTTTAACCGACTACAACTTTAGCAAATGGGATCCATATACCTCCACCATTGATGCGCACGATGAAAATGGAGTTTTGCTATGGTATGGATTGAACAGAGATATGATATACGTAAGGTGTGAACAGTCTGTGGATTCACTTGAGTTTGTAGACACATACCGTTGCTTCAAAAGCTCAAATGGGTCTGTATCTTCTTCTTCATCATCATCATCATCGGATTTGTACGCCTATGTTGGCAGCGGATATGTAGGGGATGTGGGGTTAGAGGATGATTGTCGGATAGAAGCCATGTATATGACGTCTTGGCCTGCTTGGAACAACCAGTCCAGGTCCTGCGCAGACATCAACCATATGCTTGTTTATGGTTTTGAGCTTTCTTGGCTCAACAGTTTCTGCCCGGAGTCTGGAGATGATTATGTGATAATTCTTGGTGGTAGGAAACCTCGTTGTGAAATAGGTTAGCCCATTAACTGATTTAATTCTGGCTGTCAATGCTATATTTATATATAACTGGAGCTTAATTTACGCATTTTCCTTCCTAATTCAGGGGTAGATTATCAATGCATTAATTTTCGCCCCTTGTATTTTGAATTGGTTCAAATAAGTCTTTCATATTGTTAAAATACTAGCATACATATAATGTAACTCCATTTTTTTAGGGGAAATATACTTTTTTCTCAAAAAAATATTTTTTTACAATCGTTAACAAATATGAACTAATATTGGTTTTCATTGTTAAAAAGTCTTGATGCGAACTCAATTATAATAAATAAATTTCATGACTCGTTAATGGTCAAACCTAGTGTCTTGTTTGGTTCATCATGTGTGTGTATTCCACTCTTATCATGGACTTAAAATAAAAATGATAGTAAAAATTAGTGGGATGAAATTGAATAATTTTGTTTGTATGCAATTAAAAAAGAGTGGACTAGCTGGAAGGAATCTTTGTATTTCCCTTAGTACCTTGAGGATGATTGGTTTTGCTATGGGGGGATTTGGAAGATACTACTTGCATTTTGAAGAAAGCTCTTCTATTTGATTTTCTTAATTCTATAAAAACATTTTAAATGTATAAAATTATGGAGTTGGTAACACACAAACACAATTAAATCGTAATCTTTACCGTATTATTGGCTAAACAATTTACCTCGTATGTGAACCACAATATATTAGTGAAATACTCCATATGCCTACTAATACATTTGTTTATCTGGTGTGGCAGCAGCAAGCAATAACATTTTTAAAAAGATCCTTTGGGTTATCCAAGGTAAGTCATCTCATGGTAACTTCTAACTTTCAGGTTCCAGCCTGCATAATATATGCTTTCAAGGGAGCATCATATATTTATACTGCTTATATATATATATATATATATATATTACTAATTTAAAGTAAAAAATTAGTCCTTCATCAACCTTTTTACCCCCCCCCAGAAATGGTTTTTATGAGCTATTCATTCAATTACTGTAGTCTTTATTGAATGATAATGTATTTTTATTTTACGATATATAAATAATTCTCTTTAAGGAAACTGAAATTAGTTTTCATTCTCTCTATTTTCAGATGTTGGGGGCTACGTCCACACTATATTAGGTAATTAATCCCTTGACTTTAACAGACTTATCTAATTTATAAGAGTGTGAGGGTGGACAGTGTAATAACTGGCCAAGCAATAGAAATGAAATACTAGTTCAAGGGCAGGTTCTAATTGTTGACGTCCTCTTTCAAATTTTCTTGAGCAGTTTATCATACTCTTGGTAAAATTGTTTTGGGCACTCCATTTGTGGTTGCTCTTTTGATCTATAAATGGCGGCGGAGACATTTGTCAATGTATCACAACATTGAAGATTTTTTGCAAAGTGACAACAATATTATGCCTATAAGGTACTCCTACAAAGACATCAAAAAGATGACGAAAGGGTTTAAGATAAAACTTGGGAAAGGAGGCTATGGTTCTGTATTTAGAGGACAACTTCGAAGTGGTCGTGATGTAGCTGTCAAGATTTTGGATAAGGCCAAAGCTGATAATCAAGAATTCATCAACGAAGTAGCTACACTTGGTAGAATTCACCATATTAATGTCGTGCAACTCATTGGTTATTGTGTAGAAGGAGCAAAACGTGCTCTTATATATGAGTTCATGCAAAATGGATCTCTTGACAGATACGTTTTCTCTAAACGAGACAATGAGCAATCCTTAGATCTTCATCAGTTGTATGCCATTTCTATTGGAGTAGCTCATGGTATCGAATATCTTCACAAAGGTTGCAACATGCAAATTCTGCATTTTGATATAAAGCCACACAACATCCTTCTTGATGATAACTTCATCCCAAAGGTTTCTGATTTTGGGCTTGCTAAGCTCTATCCTACAAATGATAGCATTGTGCCTCTTACTGCAATAAGAGGTACTATAGGATATATGGCCCCTGAACTCTTCTATAGAAATGTGGGCGGAGTCTCTTACAAAGCCGATGTCTATAGTTTTGGAAAGTTATTAATGGATATTGCTGGCAGAAAGAAAAATTTGAACATGCCAATCGAGCAATCTAGTCAATTTTACTTCCCCTTTTGGGTTTATGATCAATTAAACGAAGGAAATGAAATTCATATAGAAAATGCAACGGAAGAAGAAATGGAATTGGCAAGGAAAATGATGATTGTGGGATTGTGGTGCATCCAGACAAAGCCTAGTGATCGTCCTTCAATGAACAAAGTTGTAGAGATGCTTGAGGGAGAGGAGAATGACTTAGAAATGCCTCAAAAACCTTATCTATATCCACAGGATATATCAACTGTTGATGTTAGTAATCATTCAAGTTCAATAATGTCCTCCTCTGATCTATCACTGGGTAATTGTAAAGAAACAACTTCATTTTCAACTCAAGAAGATGTGAGATCAATATAGCATTGTTTGTAGGGATGCAAACATCTTTGCGATACTCCTAATTATGAATCAGATTATTCTAGTTTTATTCATTATTTTCATCAATTTATTTTCCAGATATTACATTATCATTCAATGTTATTTATTTTTTGTAATCTTGATAAGCATGATGCAGAGGTTGGGGTTTTATCAGCATTAGCAGAGAGATATTAGGCTTCCATTTTGATGTGCCATGAGATAAATTATGCCTATCAGAAAAGGAAACATATTCTTTTTGCCTGGAAAAGCATAACAGGACAAGTCTAGAAATTATATCCATTTTATGTTCTCTTGTTAGATCAGCACGGTTTTATTTTTTGGGGCCAGATAGATCAGCATGGTTTGTTCCTCTGTTAGGTCTTCGAGTTGACTTTCCTTCTCTGTTAGGTTTTATTTTTTGAGCCAGATAGATTAGTATGGTTTGTTTCCTTAAGGTCTGAGTAACGCAGGCAATTTGTAACTTAATGTAGAAACTTTCTATATAATGCATTTCGTTGTTCTCAGTTATTTGGCACTGGCAGGATTGATGTATCTTTGGATAACAATTGCACATATATGAAGCAAAACGTAAAAGAAGATATTGCCAAGTAGTCAACATATATTGATGAGATATACAAAATCCAAACTTTTCCTCTAGTAATACAAAATGTCTGCATTTGAACTGTTATGCAATAGAGTACAGCGTATAGACATAGTTGGTCTGCATTTGAACTCAGAACATCAGGATTCAGATGTAGTATATTCTTCTCAGCACTTTGAATATCTTTGGCCACAGAAAAAGTGTGGTCAGGAAATGAGGGCTCTTAGGAATTTGATTAATAAAATGCAAGCATCAAACTTGGGAACAGTAAAGAGAGTCCGTTGTACAAGTTGCTAAATGGCAATTTTCAGGACATGTAAGTACCATCATTTTGTACTGCCAGTGTTGAGTTGGGCATCTCCATCTCTTAGAATGGGTTCCAGGCTCATAGGCCACAAAATGTGAGTGTTATCATATATTTCATCTTACTTTCCCTGAAGTCCCTTGGTATTCCTTAGTTAGGAACAGCCACACATTGCCTAAACATTCATTTATTGCTGCCTGGTTTGTCATGGTAGATTGGCAATGGAGGAAAGACTAAAGAGATTGAATCTTTTGCAAGATGATATTTGCAATTTTTGTCATAATTACCCAGAAACACTTGGACACTTGCTCTTTGAATGTTCTATGTTCACAAACATTTTCAAAAAGTTGATGGATTATGTTGATTTTAGTATTGGCTCTTCTAGAATATCTGCGTGCATGGCAGCATATCTTCATCCAAACTAGGAAAAACATGGGTTAGTACATATAAACTTAGGATGGCTATGTTCTGTGCTACGATCTATGCTATTTGGCAAGCCAAGAGTGCATTGGTTTTTGGACAAGAACTACCAGAGAATGATTGGATCTGTCATAGTATTGTAAATGATATGAAAGTTAAATGAAAATATCTCTTAGTAGGAAGAAATAGGTATACTGATGAAGCAGGTAGAAGATAACATCTTTTAGGTTTGATCTGTTATATTTTGTAGATCATTTATTCTTTTGCATAGGGGTATGTCCCTCTTGATGTATCTTTGTTGAGTGGAACACTCTCACCTTTCTTCAACCCAAAAAAAAAAAAAAAAGGAACTAACTAATTTCGTACTTCTGGACTTGTATCGATATCTAGTAACTAATTGTGGTCAGAGAATCAGTCAGTGGTGTTTTTGAGAAGTGAATATAACATGGAACTGCTCAATAGAGGAAGAAGCAGTATAAATGCTAATAGATACACCAAGCATCTGGAAATATCTTCTTTGGGATCAGGATCCCCATTTCATCATAAGGACTTGAAATAGTTTACATAATGGAAAGACATTCGTTTTTCTCAATATGGGAAGACCAAAATAAAACAGCCAAAAAACAAATGAGTTATACATGCTTACTATATTTGGAAAAAGCTGGTGCACAGAAAATTTACTCAGGCACGTGAAAAAAATTTTAGAAAATTAATCACATAACAAAAGATTGTCAGAGATTCATTGGAATTCAATAATAAAGACCAAAAACACACTTTTGTATTCTATCCTTATCATATTCATATTCTGTTAGATCATGTCCTAAATCATTTTGGAAGATGCTAAGTCTGTTCCCAGCCTGCATTTCAACCTATATAATTCTGATGTTTATAAACAGACACACTTGCAAAAAATGGTCTACAAATTAACAAGATATAAGCCTCCTGACAAAGTATGGAAAGCTTCATCTGACAGGGTAAAGAATCAAAATCTGGAAAATGACAAGATGATTATAGAAGTAAAACTTTCAAACCAAAGCGCACACATTAAGCAAGCATAGTAGAATAGCAAAATTTATTTTGCCCATGAATATATTGAGATTCAGATTAACCCAAATTACATATTTTAAGTCATGGAATTCTGACTAGACTTCAGTTATTTGCAAGGTCTCATAATGGTGACAAGATATAAAGAAAAAAGGAAAAAGGTGGTTTAAGAAAATACCAATCAGAAATATGTTCATGAATAGTCTCTACTTTCTCATATCAAAAATTCAATCCACCAAGACACAATGTTATATGGCAAAGAATTCAAATGCCTAATATAACGAGTTGAAATTGTCAAAGTAAGAAATTATCTGTCAGGGACTAAAAGCAATGAAGATCAAATGTTTGAGCTTGTAAAAGCTTGATCCCTGCCAATGTGACTTCCGGCTATTTGGTTGGTGCATGATGCCTTCAACTGAAATGTCAGAAGCTCGAATTGACAGAGAAGAAGGAAGAAGAAAGGGAATATAAAGCTTGATACCCGAACAAGCTGAAACTGGAGATAACTGCTGAGAGATGGCAAGCATTGAATTCCATAAGCTTGCCACTCTTAAACTCGTTGAAGCACCAAATCAGCCCAAACACAACAAGCCCAATAGGCCTTCTGCTCATTAATGCTTAAGCGCTACGTTTGCATGTTGTATCTTTTGTTCCAGATTATTCCTTAGGTCGAAATGTCTCTATTCACTCACCTGTATCACTCTACACTATTAGGATATATTTTCACCATGGCAACGCAAGTGTCTTCTGGCAATGAACTCTGAAATATTATGAATGCTCTTTATAACCCTCCCCCTAAAGGATGTTTAATTGATTAGAAGGTTAAAATAATTTTTTTACATTATTATCATTAATTAGATTTATCTAAGAGTTAAAGGGAATCATACACATTTTTTTTTAAAATAATACCATATTTGAATGAATAAAAAATTAAATTACATATTAAGTTAGTAAGAATTATTTTTGCACACATTTAAATAAGATCATATAGGTAAAGGGATGGCTAAAGTCAGTGTTAGTGAAGGTACTAATGGTGGCGGAAAAAGTGAAAGGTATGATGAATGGGAGGGTGAGGGAGGGTCTATTTGGTTTGAAGTAGGTGGCAACAGAGGATCCTAGATGGTCTCAAAGTAGGTGCAAGTGTTCACTGTCACTTGGGTCGGTCCATAATATGGTACTATGATTGCTAGCCAACTGATCTCTATGACAATCCTTTTTGTTGGCATCTAGACACATTATGAAGATAATCAAATGAGAATTTCTTTTTAAATTCTCAATAAGATCTTACCTAAGAATACATTAGCCAGCAGTACTAAAATGATTGTTAAATAACTAAAAATAAACATTTCTAAATCGATCATATTTTATCATAAGAAATTGTACTAAGGTGTCCCTTAGAGTGGATCCATGAAATAGTTTCTTTCACCTAGATTTTCTTTCTAATAAGGAATTCCATTGAGTTTATCCCAGATATTCTTCCATAAAAGAAATTCCCTTGGTAATATATATATATATATATATATATCTAATAATTATAAAAAGAAATAAATGTTAATTGAGTAATTAAGATAAATTCAAATAGTCAACGCATGATTTAAACAACTATTGCTAATATTAAAATATATTAATGTGCACGCATGAAATAAATACTAATCATTTATTTAAGGGAATAACTGATAGATATAAATCTAAGCAGATAATGCATGGCATATAGAACAGTAAATAAGTAATTATTAAGAATAATGTAGTAACTATAGAAATAACTAAATATTTTATTATACTAAATGAGAAAATAAATAATTATTTCTCAAAACTAAAACCATAGGTACATGTAACAAATTAATTTTAAATGAAGAATTATAAATAAATAATTATGTTATAAAAAGAATACAAACTAATTAAACATACATACATACTATATATATATATATATATATATATAGGAAGCATAAATTATAACTAGAACCCCTGTCATGTGAGTGGGATAGTTATGTGTAATTTGTCTCTTTTCTCATTCTTTTCCTTTCACTCATTCCAAAGGATGAAAAATTATTTTTTATTCTAGTCTACAAGCATGTGTGATTGTGTGATTAAAATTCATATGAAAGCAGCAAGATAATTAATAATAAATATCTAAGAGGATTTTAATAGAGACTAAGCAATGGTATTAACAAAAAAATATATTATTTCAATATAATTAAAAGACAGAAAAGATTTTTGAAAAAAAATATTACTATATCCCTCCATTTTTCTTTTCATATCACTCTTCAAGATTTTTTCCACTCTTTCACTTAGTAATTTTTTTTTTCACCCTTCTCTAACTGATCATCTAGCTATTTATAGGGAAAAGGTTGAAAGACAAGTGCTTGACAATTTATTATATCACTTCTCACGATTGAATCATCTTATATTACAATAATGCTTCCACGCCACATATTCATCCCCAACCCACATTTGTTTATTATTTTATATTCATTTTTGCTTTCCTTCACATACTGCAAACTTCACCACCCTTTTTTTTTTCTTCAAAGTTTAACCTATCTTTTTCTCTCCCACGTGTAGCCTTAAACATGAGAAAAGTAATTAAATACAACTTTATTATTACAAAAATAAAATGACTAGAGTTTGAAGTAACAAATAGTAGTAATATATAAAAAAGAACTATGATAAATATATTTATTATATTAGTATATGCAGCACAATTTTTTTTTTTACCCAACATAGGAATCAAATATTTAGCATTTTGATCAATATTATGCATAATACAAGGGAACATGTGAATTTTTCAAAATTTTGAGAGAAAGCCTGCGTTATATATATCTATATATATATATATATTATTTATTTATTTATTTTTTCCCCCGGAGGGTGTTACGCTCTTGTGATTATATGCCTCTAAAAACTGTAAATGAAATCCATTCTTTCAGCAGAACCATAATCTTCTATGTCAGAGACTTTTTCATCACAACTCTGATGCAAACTTGCTGATTTTTTTAATTACTCTTATTGTTGTTGTTGTTAAAAGATAAAAAAGATTCAGAATCTACCAGTAAAATATCAAAATTATTTTTCCGTTTATTTATTTTACCAACAGAGATAAAAGTTGAAGAAGCTATTTTTATATTTGTTACTGAACTTGTAATATCAACATCCAACATATTTTTGCAACATGAAGCAGCATTGGCAATGGTAAGTTACCTGACTAAAGTAAAATTACGAACAAGATTACAGAAAAGAAAACTTTTTGGGGATGGTGAGACTGGCAAAACAGTTAAAAAAAAAATGCAACTGTATTTCTTAGTCATTTCATCTCTTTTATTAAACATATTCGTATAAGTAAGCTTCAGCTCTACCCTATGACCTTATTAATTTGTTTAACAATATCTTCCACCAAGTTTGTAGGAGTAACATCCTAGGAAATTTCTTTCAGGGGTTAAAAGCAAAGAGTTTAAATGTCTGCTTGAATGTATTGCAAGGGAAAGAAAACTTAGAAATAATGAGCAACTATAATAGGTCAATCCACCAGACTTATTGATGATGCAAAGGCTATACGATTGCAGCCATTCCAAAATCTCTCTCCAGAATCTAAAGGTGAAAATGGAGGTATATTTGGAAAATTCCGAGGCATAAGTATCTAACCAAAAAAACTAAAATAAATATCTAGAGTTCATTCATCATGTAAAACAACAGTGTGATCGTTGGTCATTTGTGATGCTTTCTAAATGATGAATAGGAAACGGCATGTACTTTTGAAATGAAAGTTATTGACTAAAGAAAATGAATTGCTTTAATTTTTAAAAATATCCTTGCTTAGGTAACTAAACTCAGTCGGGATTCTGCAATGGAATTTATTGGAAGAAATAAAATAAACTGACCATAATATTTCATTTATAATATAAAAGAGAAAGCATGTTGTCTCTGCTCCAAATAGCGAATCAACATCAAGAAGAAAAAAATTGCTTTGTTTCTAAGGAACCAGGTCCCATGTTTCCAAAATAAAGCTGCTGCGTAACACCATATAAGAGGTAGTTTAAATATGACACTCATGAAAATACTAACCAGTAATCAGACCTAATGACCACATAATACGAAGGATTGGCCCTCACGCGAATCAAAAGGCAAACTTGGAAAAATACCAAACCAGTCCATATTTAATTTGACAGTTTCACTCTATTTCTTGGATTATCTCTAAACCTTGCATTACATGTCTTGCAGGCACACTGAGCACCCTTTCACTTGTTGAAGGGCCTTCAAAATCAAAAGGATTTGGAGGTACTGGTAATTTATCTCCTTGTCCTTCCAACATTTGTACCACCACTTGCATTGATGGTCGATCCACAGCATGCCATTGAATACACCATAGTCCCACTATTCCTAATTTTTTTGCAATTATAGCATCCTCTTCTTCCTCAATAGGGATTCTTATATCCTCCCTTCCTTCTAAAATATAATAGATCCATTCAGGATAGTAAATGTGGGGTGCATTTTCTTCTGCATCATTGGTGATCCTTCTACCCCCTATCACTTCAAGTAACAACATCCCAAAACTATAAACATCTGCTTTGTGAGAGACATTTCCAAAGCTTCGAAAGAATACTTCAGGAGCAATATAGCCAAAAGTTCCTCTAGCCTTAGTCATTGACACAATACTTTGATTTTTAGAACACAATTTGGCCAGCCCAAAATCACATACTTTTGGAGTAAAAGCATTGTCCAATATAACATTGTGAGGTTTTATGTCAAAATGTAGTGTACGTTTCTCACACCTATGATGAAGATACTCAATTCCTTTGGCTATGCCTAAAGCAATATCTTGTAACTTTTTCCAACCAAGAAAGTCTTGCCAATTGTCGGGTGAAATTATGAAATTCTGGAGTGAACCATTTGGCAAGTACTCATAAACAAGAGCTCTTCTAAAGCCATCTGCACAAAAGACGATTAAGCGAAAAATGTTAAGATGATGAATTTTGGCCATTGTTCCAACTTCAGTGATGAAATCTTCACCATTTCCTATTTCGGAATTAGAGAGCATTTTCACTGCAACTTTGAACTCAGATGAAATATTTCCTTTGTACACTACCAAAAGATCCTTCCCCTAACTTGTCTTTGAATTTATTGGTAATTCTCTTGATTTCAGCATATGAATACCTGGTGGGCTTGAGTTCTTTGTAATCTTTCAAAAACTTGTTAATTATTTCCTGGCTTTCTTTTTTTGATCTGTAGGAATCGAAGGTGTAATGAACTGCAACAATGATTGCTGCTAAAAGAAATGACCCCACAATTAATCCTGCATATATAAAAACTCATATTTAATTTCGAAAAAATGTACTTCTATATATGAAAAGTCTAGGCTCATCAATTCGAATACTAACCTATGGTTAAAAATCTGTTTGATGAACCCGCAAAAGAAATTAACATGATTGGTTATGAACACATAACTCGTCATAACTCGTACATTGATGTGATTTTATATATTTAATAGAAGCGATAATTATACTAAATGATATAAATTGTCATATATATTTACTGATATAGTAGACCAGGATTTGATGCAAGGGATCTATATCATACCTATGTGAAAGCATGCAGTTTCATAACTAATGCTGCCATTCTTGAATCCGCATCTTCTTCCAGTTGATTCGCAACGTTTACACATTGGATTAGATCACTTCAAATGAAGAGTGTAATCAGCTCTAAAAACCTTGCTGGGGACGGATGAAACGTTAAATACTTTGCTGCAAGACAACAACGGAATTTTTCCGATGGATGCCCCAGATGAAATGGCATACACATGATAAATGGAGCTGCTCAAGCACGTTGAGATTAATTTCACATCCTCGGAGCTTTTCGGCCCGGAGCAATTGAAAACGTTGAAGTCATCATCAAGATACGACGCCTCGATATGGAAAGGGGAAGAAGGTAGAGTGAGGTTAGGGAGATGCCAAGAGAGGCAACCAGAAGGATCATATAATTGAATTGTCTGGGAACGATAATCAATGTGTTTGACATTGAGCTTCACTGAGCGAGGAAGCTCAAGAACAGGGTGATTGGTGGAGGAACATTGTAAATCAAACCCAGGATACCCACACGGTTTTGGTTGACGTCTTATTAGTCGAAAAGGAAACCGAACATGATGGTTTCCACACCTCGTTTCAGTTTCTACACAGCTATTATTCCAGCTTCCTACAGATTCTGAAAACCCAGTAATTATCAATAACCAAACGAAGAAGAAGGAGCTTATGGTTGAAGTTTCCATGATCTCCAGCCTCTGGCTTTCCTCCAAGTAGCCAGATGAGATAACAAGTAACTGATAGATCTTATCTCAAAGGAGACTTTTTCAAACAGTGTAGCTTCCCCACACACGATTTCCTTGCATGATGTATAAGCTTGCGTTAACGTATAGAAGCCTTGTGTGAATTATTGATAGCACGAGCGGTCAAGCTGTCAAGTGTCAACTTCAGAACAATTTCTAACCTCTGGATGATGATAACAAACGTACGGTGTCAATAGACACGCGTTGTTGAATTTTTGATAACGCGGGCAAGCTGTCAGTGTGTCAAAGAAAAATTTCTACGCGTTGTTGAATTTTTGATAACGCGGCCAATCTGTCAGTGTGTGAAAGAAAAATTTCTAGGCAACTTCTTGATTATACGAAATACATGATGGAGGACCTCGATCAATTTATGTCTTTTCAGAGTTGAGATTGCTAACTCTTCGTTTTGAGATCGTCATGATAAGAGAAACGTGTTCCTCATCAGCACAGTCGTTGCTAGTGGTGCTGTTGCTGATAACGGTATTCTATAGAAGTAGCGAAGCATCAGATGGAGACCAGAAGTGTTCTAGTGTATGCGGAGATCATAATGTGAACGTCCCTTTCCGGTTAATAGACTCTGCAGAGGAGTGTGGTGACTACAGGTATGAGCTATCTTGCGAGCACAACCAATTAATACTGTACTGGCAATCTGGAAGATACAGTGTTGTGTCCATTAATTATGAGAACCACACAATCCGAGTGAGAGATTCAGATATTGTGGAGTAAGATTACTCTTCCCTGCCTCGAGATTCTTTAACAGACTTAAACTTCAGCTATAGGAATGATCCATATGCCACCTCCATTCTTACACGATTCGGAAGAGGTCTTTTTGGAGGAAGTGAAGGGAATCAATTGGCAAAGATTATGATATACGTGAGGTGTAAACACGCAGTGCATTCCCGTGTGTTTGTGGACACAGCTCCTTGCTTCAACACTTCAAATGGGTCTGGAGCTTCTTCTTCTTCTTCTTCTTCGTCGTTGTCGTCGCATTCGTATGTGAATGTTGGCAGCGAAAGTCTCAGGGATTTGGGGCAAGACGACGATTGTGGTGTAGAACTGATGCATATGACGTCGTGGCCCCTTGCCCGGAAGAACCGGTCCTGGTCCTGCTCAGACATCCACAATACGCTTGTCTATGGCTTTGAGCTTTCTTGGTTGCATAGTTCATGCTATAACCAAACTGGAGATTTTGCATATCTCGATCGAACCAAGCATCTACGCTGTCTTGTAGGTAAGTCCTTTTAATTTAATTCTTGTTATTAACACTACTCGATCCCTCCAACTAACTATAGCTTATACGGTTGCATTTTCATTGTTTCTTTTGTGCTGTGTTTGGATGAGGAGAAAATATGAGAAAAAGAAAATGTGAGGTGAACCAGGAAGAAAGCAATTTTTCTGGATGAGAAAGAAAGTGGGAGGAATGAAAAATAGAGAAGAAAATGGAATATGGTCCCACACTCATGGAGAGATTTTGGAAGAAAATTATGTCAGCCATCCTCTCTCCTGCTTCTTCATTTTTGTGCTTTCTTCTTCCACTCAGACCACTTTTAATATTAAATAGTGCACTGCTATATTATAGTGTAGGCTTCCACTTTTAACTTTTTTATTAGAAAACTAGCATTTTTATTAAATTATTTAATTTAAAATATATAATAACATGTTTTGGCCAAAAATATAAAATAACATGAAAATAATTTTTTTAACAAATAATTTGATTTTAAATTATTCTGATGAGGTTAATTTTAATATAAGTTTTCTTCAATTTATTATTATATAGATAATAACACTAGACATGATATATTTTGATATAATGATATGATAGTTATTTTAATATTTACTCATATTCTTTTTTCTCTATTTTTTTTGGGTCCAACCAAATATAAGGGAGATAACATTGTTTTTTCAGTTTTTTCAGTTTTTTATTTTCTCTTTTTTTTTTTATTTTTTTGGCTTCAACTTTTTTTCCATCTAAATAGAAGGTTTGTCTCTTTTTCACTGTAACTAATCAAATGAGTAAAACTCTCATTCATCTTACCTTCTTATTTTGAATTTTCTTTTTTATGAAATTTATTTTAAATTTTCTTACCCATCCGAGGATTATACTCGGTTTGCATCTTTTGAATAAAATTATTGTATTAATCTATTTCATACCGTGGTAAAAAAATTTGTGATATGGTTTTGGTTTTTTCCCAATATAAATTATCAAATTACTTGCAAGAAATTTATTTGATCCATTAGAAAGCAATACATAAATAGAAATCAGATGATAAAATAATCGTAATACCTCCGGTGCCGAACAGAAGTAGTTGGTGTGTCATTTACTTCATTGTTGAGCTGGCATGCAAAATATTTCAACCAAAATAATTATAGAAAATATTCAAAATTTTAACAAGTCTTCCTTTTATCATTGCCACTTCCATGCCGTTGCAAGGTGGTAGTTGATGCAAATTTGAATTTTGAATATAGATGGATAACCAATCTTTTGAACAAAGGTAAGCAAAACCAAACAAAACCTATTACATCAAGCCAATGCTATAAAAACTGAATAAAACTGATTATTAGTAAAGCTTGGTTTGATTTTATAAATTTGAAAACCAGATGATTTGATTCAGATTTCGGTTTTTTTCTTTGAATCCTTAACTAAATTTAAACCATACTTTTTATATTTTAAAATGTATTTTTTATTATTAATATTAGACTATTAATGTTTATATTTTTAAAAATTTTAACTTCAACCAAAGTCCACCCACCTCAAACCCAAAATATTTTAACAGAATTTATAAATATTTTATTTCTTGATGTTGCTATTAGAAAATCAAATGCATATACTTGCACGTCAAGAATGATTTTTTAGATAATTTTATATATAGGATCTCCATTTTTTGATTTAAAACAAGTCATCTTTTATTATATATACAATATATATATATATATATATATATATTAAGAGAACTTGTAATGAAATTTATCTTGTGCTGCTTACAAATGCATATAATCTTATATTTATTGATAATAAAATTCAAATATTTTTTATTTTGGATATAATGTTTATTTTCATTCATAAATAATAAAATTGAGAATGTAACTTAAAGTTAGAATGTCAAAGAAAAAATTAGAGTCAAAAGTTATGTTTAGACTTACTATATTATTTTATTATTAAAAAATATTGAAAATTGATTCATTTATAAATCAAATCGAACTAAATTGCCTAAAAAGCCAAACCAAATTGATCTTAATAAAAAAAAAACTGATCAAATGTCATTTCTTGTACAAATTGATTAGTTTGGTTTGATTCATGTTTTAACCATAATCAAACTAAGCCATATCTTTCACTATTCTTACTTTGGAAAATCGGTTGGTATCATAGTAAGTTAATGCACATTAATACGTTGGCTACTAAAACATCCCATATTGTTAGTTAATTACTAATATAGCTGTTCTATTATCAGATGACCTACCATACATCGGGCGGGACATCACGCTGCTTGTTATCCCAGGTAATGAGGAATATATTGTGGCAACTTATAACATTTTTATTCCGCAAAATATGACTCAAAGTTTTAATTTTGTAAAATTTATCCGTCTAATATTATTTGTTTAGAAAAATAAAATATTTAAATTAGAGTGTCAAAGATAATTTTTTATTGTTTTAATAAATTTTAAAATTTAGAATGCCAAAAGTTCTTTCTTTAAATGATAGGATAACAATGATATCATAAAAATAATTTTAGGAAAAATTACATGTAGGTCCGAGGAGTTAATTTATTTATAAATAAATCTCATAAAATTAAAAAATCACAACTAGATTCCTTGAGATCTAATTGTAATTTGAAGTTAGGATAGAAAGATAATAATTAATGTTTCTATTAAACATATATACATTACATCATTCAAATGATTTACAACTTCATATATCCAATAATTAAAATGATCAACTTATCTATTAAATATGTGAAATTACAGTTGCAAAAAAATGAAGTTATAGTTGTAAATTATTAATGAAGTAGTTGTAAATAATTAGTGTTAAACTTTATCAATAATACATGATTATTTAACTATTGGATAGGTTAACTCACAATTATAAAAAGTTAAAATTATAGTTATAAATTACTGATAAAGTAATTATAAATTAATTATTTGATTGATGTAATATATGTTTTATAGGGGTATTATTGTCTTTCCAATCTAATTTCAAATTATACTCAGGTCTCAAGGAACCTGATTGTAGTTTTCAAATTTTATGAGACTTATTTGTGAATAAGTCTACTCCACGAAACCTATACATAATTTTTTCATAATTTTATGGTTCAATTTGTCTACAGGAAAATATTAAAATTTAATATTTTCATATTTACCTAACTTTAATAATTTAAATTGTATCATGAAAATTATAAAAAACATGAATAATATAATAGAAACAAGTAATTATAATGGAAATGAAAGAGAAATGTGAAAGCAAATGAAAGAGAGTTCTCAATTTCTCATAATTAATTGATACCCAATTCCATTTTCATATACACATTCCCCGAATTCCAGCCAGCATACCAAACAAGTCCTTGGAAATGTCATAATTCATATCTAATCTTTATTTATGCAACAACGGAAAGAAGATATTTGACTTGCATATATTTGCACAATCTATAAGTCTTGAAGGTTATATGTATTAATAATAAGAAATTCCTCAGAAATAATTGATTTGGTGATTATGAGATTTTTTTTTGGGTAGAATTATTATTAAAAATTCACATAGATATTACTTGAAAAACCAGGAAATTATTTAATTATTTAATTCAACACTCCCTCAGATTCTATTTAAAAGATAGAGAATATTTTTTTTTTCTATTTATAAGTTATGTCATTAATTTTTATCACAATTTTTTTTCTTAATTTACCCTCTATTACATATTGGTGTGAAAAATTATGTTATTTTATTTTAATATTTAATGGGAGTAAAATTAAGAACTTAATAAAGTTTTAGATAGAATTAATTAATTTTAAAATTTTTTCTTGATTGTGGTAAAATATATTAAAAATTGACTTATAAATTAGAGTATTTGTTTAGGGAGATATATATATATATATATATATATATTGGCAATATTTGAGAAGTTAGTCCTGTCGCTTATGAAAATGAAGAGATGTTGCATGCAATTAGGGAGGAAAAACAATATTGTATTTTTTTTCTTTAACGAAATATTTTGTTCTACTGTACTGGATTTTTATAGTAATAATTTATTGACTTATAAATTGGTTTAGAGAAGTATTTGCTGAGATATATATTGGAAGTATTTGAGAAGTAAGTCCAATTGCTTATGAAAATGAAGAGATGTTGCATGCAATTATTAGGGAGTAAAAATCATATTGTAATTTTTTTTAATGAAAGATTGTTGGTTCAACTAGATTTTTTTAATAATGTTTTAAGTGACTTATAAATTTGACTAGAGTATATGCTCAGGGAGATACATATATATATATATATATATATATATTGGCAATATTTGATAAATTAGTCCCATCACTTATGAAAATGAAGAGATGTTGCATGCAATTAGGGAGTAAAAATCATATTGAATTATTTTCTTTCATGGAAGGCTTTAATTTGTTCTACTTTATTTTTCTGGTACAGTTTTTTTTTATAATTATTCAAATATCATGTACTATTTTTACTAATTTTTAATATATTTCTTTGATTTTTTTTTCCAGCTAGTCTAGTTTAAATGAGGTAAAATATTAGTTTATGGACATTCAAGAGAAATTGTTATAAGTGCATTGTAATGTGAATGTGTCCATAACCTTTGAGAAAAGAACCTTTAGAATTCTACCCATAAAATCTTACAACCTCCAAAATCTTTTTTTTTTTTTAAGTTTTGTGTGATTTTTTTTTTTGGCTAGAAAGTTTTGTGTGATTGATACATGTAACCTTCAAGAGTTTATATATTGTGCAATTATGTAATATAAATCTCTTCCACGTACTTTGTGCACTTCTAAATGAATGAGAATTCTTTCTCATTTTATCTCTCTACAATTCTCTCTCTTTTCCATTAATATTTATCTTTTGCTTCAATAATGCTGATAGTTTTTCCGTTTTCATAATATGTTACTTATCATCGATCACACGGATCTCTAACAGACTAGGAAGAGGCATAAACTCAATATATAATCATGGATCATAAGAAGATTATTGTTCATCACGTTAACCTATAAGAACGTGTTTTTTTTTTTCCCCTTACTTTCTATTATTCATACATTCAATATTTATTTATTTAAAAGTATAATTGTTCAATTCTTATGATTTTAATGATCAATTTGACATCAGTTGGTTGATGTGTTGAAAAATGCGTACAATACTAAGATGACAAGCTGTCATATTGCTTTTAAACTTGTGATTTATATATGTTCAGAAGTCATATCCCTGTCAATAATTTTGGTTACTTTGTAAAAGATCACTTAGCGGTCTCATCAATGGCATATATTTTTGCATCACTTCTCATTTTCTCTCTGTTTCGCGCAGTGTATATCGGAATTCCCGCCTGCTTAATTTTAGGTAATGCCTTGACTTGAACCAAACTATAAAAATGCAATATATACTTGGTTCCAGTAAAGGGGCCAGCAAGTACTAATTATTATTTGTGTTCTCTTTCGAATTTTATTGAGCAGTTTGTCATTGTGCTTGTAAATGTGTTATCGGCCCTCCATTTATCATTGGCCTGTTGATCTATAAATGGCGACGGAGACATCTATCAAGTTACACCAACATTGAAGATTTCTTGCAAAGCGAGAACACAATCATGCCTTTGAGGTACTCCTATAAAGAAATCAACAAGATAACGAAAGGGTTTAAAATAAAAATTGGGAAAGGAGGCTTTGGCTCCGTGTTCAAAGGACAACTTCGAAGCGGACATGATGTAGCTGTTAAAATGTTGGATAAGGCCAAGGCTGATGGACAAGAATTCATTAGTGAAGTTGCTACACTTGGTAGAATTCATCATGTTAATGTGATGCAGCTCATGGGTTATTGTGTGGAAGGATCAAAACATGCTCTAGTATATGAGTTAATGCAAAATGGGTCTCTTGACAAATACATTTTCTCGAAGGATGATGATAATGAGCAATCATTGAATGTTCATCAATTGTATGCCATTTCTCTAGGAGTAGCACGTGGCATAGAATATCTACATAAAGGATGCAACATGCAAATTTTGCATTTTGATATAAAGCCACACAATATTCTTCTTGATGATCAATTCATCCCAAAAATTTCTGATTTTGGCCTTGCTAGACTCTATCCTGCAAATTATAGTGTTGTGTCTCTTACAGCAGCACAGGGGACTATAGGATACATGGCTCCTGAACTATTCTACAGAAATGTGGGTGGAATCTCTTACAAAGCTGATGTCTATAGTTTTGGGATGCTCTTAATGGAAATTGCTGGTAGGAGGAAGAATTTGAATGTACTGGCTGACCGTTCGAGTCAATTTTACTTTTCCTTTTGGGTATATGATCAGATAAATGAAGGAAATGATGTCAACATAGCAGATGCAACAGAGGAAGAAATGACATTGGCAAGGAAAATGATGATCGTGGGGTTGTGGTGCATTCAAACTAAGCCTGGTGACCGTCCTTCAATGAACAAAGTTGTGGAGATGCTTGAGGGGGATGAGCAAGACTTGGTATTGCCTCAAAAGCCTTATTTCTATCCGCAAGATTTACCAATTGATGATAATAATCGTTCAAGTTCAATGGGCTCATCCTCCAAACCTGAAGAATGTTCTTCAATGGACGAAGTTGTCGAGATGCTAGAGGTAGAAGAAGAAATCTCAGAATTGCCTCAAAGGTCATATCTGCATGCACTAGATTTACCAACAAAATCATTCAGTTTCAACGAGTAAAATCATGCACTAGATTTATGCTTTATGATGAGAAAACTGGTGCTTCCCACATTTGTCTTTGCTCTTGCATCTGATGCACCCGTAAACATGAATAAGAAGTGGGGGCTTTATATTAGAATAAGAAGTGGACAATAGGATTCCATTTTTATTTGCCATGGGATAAATAATGGAAAGAAGCGCTTTGTCTTTTTAGGAAAATTATGTTTTTGATATAATTGGTACAACCTCGATCAAGAGATATGTTTTGCCTGGCAAAGGACAATGCAGGATTCTGAAATCGTATACACTTTTATCAAGTTCCTTAACTTTTGATGTTAGTATGGTTTGTTTCTCTTCTAGGTTAATCATGTGTAAATTTTTTGGACTACTGAATATAATATTGTCCAAGGGATAGATTAAGATCTTTGAAGTGTCAAGGTATAGAGTTTGACATAAAATATCATGCTGACTAATTCATTAGTATGTTGCCCTGATTTACAGAGTGCACAAAGGCATCAACATATACAGTGAGAAACAGTGGCGAAGCCACATCTATTTGAGGGGGCATACAAATGAAAAAAATTACTTATATAAAAATGGGGGTATAGGTATTTATACTTTGCACTTCTCTTTTTTATAGTTTTCATTTTAAACCATTTCATATTATTTTTGAACTTAGATCCAACATTAAATTTTTTTTTTTTAACTCAAAAGCCCAATAAATTTTACCCCACAATTTCAATACACCCAAATAATAATATTGTTTTATAAAAAAATTAACATTTATTAAACCTTTAAGAAAATAAGGAAAAAAATAATCTCACATGCATTGTTTGAAATTTCAAAACAAATTTGTAAAAAAATTAGTTAAAACTAAAAAACACATTGTTTATCCATTAGTTTATCTTCTCTTAAAATTAGTAATGGTATTATCTATTGCCTTTTTTATTATAAAGTTTGTAAAAATTCGGTTGTACAATCGAATGGGGAATCTACAAATGAATGATTATCTCATGATTTATATTAAAAAAAATATATTTAAAAGCATTGACAATGAGTCAATTGTTTAACGATTTCAAAACATAAAATCATATAGAAAAAATTTATAAAACATATAATTATTAAATAATTTTATTATTTTTTTAAATTATGAATATATAAATAATTTTGCTTCTCCTGACACAAGACCCTGGCTCTGCCACTGGTGAGAAAGATAAGGGTAAAGCGTGATAATGAAGAAAAAAGGATGACACTTTGTCCTAGTGTACAAAGTTTTAGAATCACTATAGGATAAAGCCTAAGATGATTTAGTCTTTACAGTATTGGGAGGGCCAATATTAGTGTTGGGCCTGGGCCTGGGCCTATATATCTATCCCGCTCTGACTGTCTTATACGAACGACCATGTGTCCTTCTGTGTCTGCTCTCTCAAACCCAACAATATTTGGGTTCACAGTTACTGACTTGACTACATATATCATCTCTATAGGTAGATTGGAGCAATCCCAACGGCTTTATCAATAAATATAATGCAGTTGATAAAAATTTGACTATAACTCACAAAGTGATAAGTTTAAAATATATTCTAATAAAATAATTAATTTTATTAATGAGTAATTTATAAATATTTTTATAAACGTGCTTTGAATCTAAAAGCATATCCTAACCCCTCATGAGCTCAAAAATTAACTTCCTTAAACTTTTTTTTTATAAAATAAAACTGCTTTAATTTCAACCCAATGATCCAATTCCCTTTGTTTGTTTTGAAAGAAAGATCTTGTGTAATTAAGCATTTAAAATATTATTTTTTAGAGCCAAATATTCTGACTTCCTCTCTATTTTATCTTAATTATAGATACTTCCATTTTATTTTTGAATCCTATACGAACTTTTTCAAATATAAATAATTACAAAACATAAGCATCCCTTCTATTTTTATTTTTAGGATTTCATTTCTATTTATGTAACCATTAGTTAACTGTTAAGTTACATTTATTAATTAGACAAAACTATCCCTTTTTAAAAATATAAATCTTATCTAAAAATCATTCAAATTATAAAAAAAAAATTAATGCATATATTTTTTATTTTTTTATTTATATTTTAGTTTTTTATATAAAAATATTTATTTAGTAACATTTTTTAAAACGTCAATGCAGGAAAAAAATGATATTTTAAGATGAAACTAAAAGAAACTCAATGAAATAATAGGATTTAATATAATAAATTAATCAATATAATTTATACTTTTAATTTTATTAATTTAACGCAAGATTGAAAATTATTTATTTAAATATTGAAATAATTATTTATTTAAATAATTAATTTTGAAAAATTTAAATAATTATTTTAAAAATTTTAAAATAATTACAAATAAAAAATTAAGTATTTTAACATTTTTAATAGAATATTCTAATATTGTTAATAATTGAATTAAAGTATAAGTTTTAAAAATAGAATAGAGGTTTCTATAATTTAAGAAAAATAGAAGGAAGATTATTGTATCGTACTCTATTTTTTATAATTGAATCGTACAAGTTATAGTTAATTATTTTATTCAGTCTTATTTATAAATTATTTTTAATTAATTTATCAAAATTGAGAGGATGTAATTAAATTATTGATGTTGTATAAAAGATAAAAAAATTCTTAATTTATCCTTATTAAATGCATAATTTTTTTAAGAACAAGTTCTCTCTCATGTAGTTTTTTGCTCGTTCATCTTTACAGCTCATCACCCTAATTTGATATTTAATCTAAATGGTTTAAATTTAAAATATTATTTTATATTTTATTTTATTTTATTTTTATTAAAATAAAAACGTATAAAAATTATTAAAAAAATGAATCTTGTCGTCGTCAATCTGGTGTAGATTTAATTTGGAGGATTTAATTTAATATTAATATTTTTATAATTTTTATATATTGACCATTTAGATGTACTTTATATAATTTAAATTTAAAATTTTTAACTTATAATTTTTTAAAAAATTATTTTTTAAAAAATTTATATTTTATATATTTTAAATTTTAAGATTGTATTTATCAATATAGAAATTTTATATAAATTATAAAAAAATTAATATTAAATATGTACTATTTAGAGTATATTTAAATAGTTAATATATATAAAATTATAAAAATTTTAATATCAAATTGTACCCTTAAAATTAAATCTAGACCATATTGATGATAAAAATATTTATTAAATTTTTTATAATTTATAAATTTTTATATTATTAAAAATGAAAAAATATAAAAAACCATACTTTAAACTTGGATCATTGATATTAAAATTTAAATGGTTCAAATCTTATCCTCCTTTTAAACACCATGAGGGTGATGACTGATGAGCACTGGAGATGAATTTTTTTTTTTACTCTCTACTCATTAAAAATTTTGAAATTTGAAATGGTGGAACAGAAAGAAAGTAATTAATAAAAGGTAATAATTTTTTTTTACATCTTATGGCTACACTTTTCAAAAAGTGTTGTTTATATTTTAGATATAGACAATAATTAAAAACTATTGCATAAACGTGAAATAGAAAAAAAAAAAAATCAATATTTTTTCCCCAAGTTCACACATAAGGTGTGGGTATGGGACACGGGACCTCTCAATTTTTATCATTATTTTTTCTCGCTATAATTGAGAAAGTATACGAAAAAAAGATGATAAGAAAATGGTGGCGTTCCACATCCGTAAGTTTGTGGTGTGCATTGACTTGGTCTACAATGAATGAAACTCGTGGGTCCAAATAAAGCGTCAATTTGGAGGAAGCTTTCGCAAAGGTTTCCAAGAAGATTAGTTTAGATATGAATCCCCATGTTTGTCATCGCGTGCATTGACTTGGTCTACTATGAATGAAACTCGTGGGTCCAAATAAAGCGTCAGTTTCCAGGAAGCTTTCGCAAAGGTTTCCAAGAAGATTAGTTTAGATATGAAACCCCATGTTTGCCATCGCGTGCATTGACTTGGTCTACAGCTATTGGCCAGAAAAAAGAAGACGACTTGGTATACAGCTTTACAGGAAGCCAGTGATGGAAAAGTGACCATACGAGAAATAATAGCGTCTTAGAGACGAGTCTATGTGTGAAGTCTCATTCCGAAAAGATCCCTTAATCTTGTTTAATAGAATTCTTTTCATAAAAATAACAAACCCGTAATTAACTCCACTAATTTACTACATACAAAAAAAATTAACTCCACTACTTTAATTTAATTTAATTTAGACGTTGGCTAACAAGACCCATTTTACACTCATTAATATGCCTGCAAGATTTTGACTTCTTCTTTTAATTTACTACATACAATCAATCTTGTTTGTCATCCTATTTATTTTAACTAGTCATGACACCTTGTAATTACCTAAATAAATCTTGTTTATCATTCTACTACTTCTTACTAATGATCACGACACATTGTAATTCCCTAGCTACTTGTAAAAATAATAATTTAATCTCATATACGTTTTTTTTAATGATAGATTAAAAATAATTCAGATAAATAATATTAAACAATAAACATTAATAAAATTGATGCTAACTGAAATTCAACACTCCTTTAAAATTAAGACTAATTAAATTATCTATAACCTCATTGAAATTTATGTCATGTAAAGGTAGCCTCTTTAACTTTTGAAAGTTTACATTGAGCCCTCCTTAACTCTTACATTTATGCATAATCTCCCTTGTGACTAGTTTTGTGCACTACTTGTCTACTTATCTGTTAAAAGCTTAAAGTTTAGAGGGGTTGTTTGCATATAATCCAAAGTTTGAGGAGCTTTATGCACATAAAAAAAAAATTAAGGAGATATATAATTAATAGTTGGGAGTTATACACACAAACTTAAAAGCTCAGGGAGATTTATTATTAAGATTTTTTTTTGAGTGTAATATTAAGCTTTATATGTTAAGGGAGTTCTTGTACGTAGTCTAAACTTTAGGATAATTTTTGTATTTTAGCCTTTTGAATAGACGAGTAAAGTTGGGGTTGTTTGGAAAGTTCCTGCGAGAATATACCCTACATCGAAATGAAAAATAACTAGGAATTTACACCATTAATTTCAAGCGCGTGTTGAATTTCAGTAGTGTCAATTTAATTTATTAGTGTTTAGTCTTATTTACCTGAATTATTCTTAATCTATCATTACTATTATAACAAACACTTTTTGTACCTGCTTTTTACTTCAATTAAAAAAGAATTGGTGTAAAAAGTATGAGCAATGATATTTTTGCAAATAATTAAACTTAATATAATACTTTTTATGTCAATTTTATGTATAACTGATGTAAAAAGTCTATACAAATTAAAATGTTT